AAAATGTTTAAAGGTGTATTAATAGAATTCACTGGTAATAATAAACAGACAAAATCAGAATACTCTAATACTGTAATCGTGGTGTGTAATCCACTCATATCACTAGTATGAAGACTAAAAGATAAATCTATCAAAAATAATAACTACAGCAACTTGTTAAGATACAGGAAATATAAAAAGGTATAAATTAAGACAATAAAAAGTCAAAATGTGTGGTGGATGGAAGTTAAAGTGTAGAGTTTTTTGGTTTTTCCTTTGTTTCTTTTCTTTGTGATCAAAGTTAATTTGTCATCTGTTTAAAATAACTTCTTATATCTATAAGATGTTTTTTTTGTAGGCCTCATGGTAACTACAAAGCAACAACCTATAATAGATACACTAAGAATAAAAAGCAATGAATTAAAATACACTACCAGAGAAAAATCACTTAAGCAGAAAGGAAGACAGAAAGAAAGGAAGAGTTTCAAAACAACCAGAAAACAAGTAACAAAATGGCAGTAGTTAGTCCTTATCTATCAATAATAACACTGAATGTAAATGAACTAAATTAAAAGGCATAGAGTGGCTAAATGGATTTTAAAAAATACCCAAATATATGCTGCCTACAAGAAACTTACTTCACCTATAAACACACACAAAGACTGAAAGTGAAGGGATGGAAAAATATATTCCATGCAAATTGAAACCAAAAAATAGCAGGAGTACCTATACTTATACGAGATAAAATAGACTTCATGTCAAAGATTGTAAAAAGAGACAAAGAAGGTCACTATATAATGAAAAAGGAGTCATTTCAGCAAGAGAATATAACAATTGTAAATACCTATGCACTCAACACTGGAGCAACTAAATATATAAAGCAAATGTTAATAGATCTAAAGGGAGAGAGGGAGAGACTGCAGTATGTTAATAGTAGGGGTCTTCAGCACCTCACTCTCAGTAATGGAAGGATCATCCAGACAGAAAATCAACAAAGAAACATTGGAGTTAAACTACACTCTAAATCAAGTTGACCTGACATTTTACAGAAGATTTCATCCAACTACTGCAGAATATACATTCTTTTATTAGCACACAGAAGATTTTCCAGGATGAACCATATGTTAGGCCACAAAATAAGTCTCAAAAAATTAAAAAAGTCGAAATAATATCAAGTATCTTTTCTGACCACAATGAAATGAAATTAGAAATCAATAACAAGAACAACTTTGGACACTGTACAAACACATGGAAATTTAACATGCTCCTGAATGATTAATGAGGCAATGAAGAAATTAAGAAGGAAATTTTAAAAATTTATTGAAACAGATGAAAATAGAAACACAACATACCAAAATCTATGGGATACAGTAAAAGCCGTACTGAGAAGGAAGTTTATAAGCAATAAATGCCTATATCAAAAAAGTAGAAAGATGGCTGGGTATGGTGGTTCATGCCTGTAATCCTAGCACTCTGGGAGGCCAAGGCAGGAAGGATTGCTTCAGGTCTGGAGTCTGAGACCACCCTAAACAAGAATGAGACTACATCTCTACTACAAATAGAAAAAATCAGCAGAACGTGCTGGCATGTACCTATTGTCCCAGCTACTCAGGAGGCTGAGGCAGGAAGATTGCTTGAGCCCAGGAGTTTGAGATTGTAGTGAGCCATGATGACGCCACTGTACTCTAGCTGGGGTGACAGAGGGAGACTCTCAGAAAAAAAAAAGTAGAAAGATTTCAAATAAACAACCTAACAATGCACCTCAAGGAACAAGAAAAGCAAGAATAAACCAAACCCAAAATTAGTAGAAGGAGAGAAATAATAAAGATCAGAGCAAAATAAATGAAATTGAGAATAAAACAATACAAAAGATCAACAAAATTAAAAACTGTTTTTTTGAAAAGATAAACTAAGGAAAAAAAGAAGACCCAAATAA